ATGTGACACTTGTGGGAAAGATTTTAAGTACAAGACCAAATTGAACCAACATTTAAGAATCCACACAGGTGAGAAGCTGTATATTTGCAACATGTGTGGAAAAGGATTCTGTCAGAGATCATCCTTGACTATTGATATAAGGACTCCCACAGGTGAAAGGTGAATTGGAGATTTCAGTGTTTCCATTAATCTCAGCATTGAAGTGGGCATGTACACACGGGACACAGTACAGATACTAGCGCTTCTGTCTTTTACTGTTTGGCTTAGTGGCATTTCTCGCAAGCTGCCAGCTGTCTTTTCTGCCTTCTCCATGGGTTTGAGATGTCTCGCCTGGACAGTGGGCAATCTCGGACAATGGGAGCAGACATTTAACACCAACTCTACCAAAGAGCTCTACCAAAACAGACCTGCAATCCCCCAGAAGCAAAAAAATCTAGATTAAGTCATCCCAAAAGATGATGTGTGTCCTGTTGTTGTTGTTTATGCCATATGTGCACATGTAAAATTGAACCCTTTAGGAAAAAAAGTATTTTTTTAATGAGTCACTGACACTCATCCACTCTAAATAGCGTTGCATTTTAATCTTGTCAGTTAATGGTTAACGAGTCAAACAAATCTGGAAAAATGCGTCCTTACCCTATGCAAATGAATTGAAGTGAAAATGTTTTTAATTTTATTTACTGTGCTGAATTTTAATTGTTTTACCTAGTTTAAGTTGCTGCCTCTGCTGATTTTTAATCTTGTTTTTACTTTTCATTCTAGAGCCTAAAGAAGAAGTTGCTGCTGTTTGAATTTATTCCTTGAATCACTATAATTTTTTTTTATTGCATGGGTCAGCGTCAAAATGATCAAACATTTCCCTCTGCAGGATTTACAGCAATTTTAAGACAGACTGGAACATTACAATAAGAAGCATCACTGTTTTTTTTCTTCTCACTACATCAGTGACCTGTTCCCTGTGTCCCTTTGTCCCTCCAGAGCTGCCTCAGCAACATGTCTGTGAGGAGGTGGAGGTTGTGGCTGACCCACAGCCCTGTGACCAGGAGAGGAACTCCAGTCTGGACCAAGAGGACCCAGAGCCTCCAGAGATTAAAGAGGAACAGGAGGAACTCTGTAGCATTCAGGGTGGAGAACAGCTTGGACTGAAGCAGGAGACCGATCCCTTTATGTTGACTCCTACTTATGAGGACAGTGACCACAGTGAACCAGAACCAGACAGTGACCAGCAGCTCCTCTCTCCCAGCTCTCCTGTAGCTGAGAGCCAGGATCAGAGAGGAAACCAGCATGTAGACTCAGGATCAACCAGTCACAGTAGCAAGATGGACAACTGTCCTATGTCACAGACTGACTCTGATCCTACCAGAGGTAACAAGTCCTTCAAATGTGACACTTGTGGGAAAGATTTTAAGTGTAAGTCGATATTGAACCGACATTTGAAAATCCACACAGGTGAGAAGCCGTATATTTGCGACACTTGTGGGAAAGGATTCAGACAGAGATCACAATTAAATGTTCATTTAACAGTCCACACAGATGTGAAGCCATATGTTTGCAACACCTGTAGGAAAGGGTTCAGGGTGAGCTCAGACTTGACTACCCATTTAAGAATCCACACAGGTGAGAAACCATATGTTTGTGACACTTGTGGCAAAGGATTCGGACGGAGGACACACTTGACAAATCATTTAAGAATCCACACAGGTGTGAAGCCATATGTTTGCAACACCTGTGGGAAAGGTTTCAAGCAGAGCTCAACATTTAATACTCATTTAACAATCCACACAGGTGAGAAGTCGTATGTTTGCAACACTTGTGGGAAAGGATTCAGAGTGAGCTCAGATTTGACCAACCATTTAAGAATCCACACAGGTGAGAAGCCATATGTTTGCAGCACTTGTGGGAAAGGATTCAGGGTGAGCTCAGATTTGACCACTCATTTGAGAATCCACACAGGTGTGAAGCCATATGTTTGCAACACCTGTGGGAAAGGATTCAGACGGAGGTCACACTTGACGATTCATTTAACAGTCCACACAGGTGAGAAGTTATATGTTTGCAACACCTGTGGAAAAGGATTCAGTCAGAGATCAGCCTTGACTACTCATTTAAGAACCCACACAGGTGAAAGGCCATTTCTTTGCAATACTTGTGGGAAGAGTTTCACACGGAGCACTGTTTTGCGGGTCCACATGAAGGTCCACACAGGTGAGACATAGGGTAGTAAGAGTGTGAGATTTTCCTAATATGATAACCGTCTTCGAAAATATCATGGTTTCACAGTATCATTGTATAACATATTACAGCATTACTGACCCCGTTCAGGGACTAAGCGGTAGAAAATGAATGAATGAATTGATATCAGGGTCTGAAATTAACACCCACCAGTCGCCAAAGTGGGTAGTTTTTCCATTAAATATAGATTTAGATTACAACACATATTAAATCTTTAACGCTTAATTTTTGCTCTAATATTTTACCCCAATAAACAAGAAAATTGTCTTTTGGGTCCTTTACATTTATTTGACAATTATGAGTAGAAATTTACACATAGTGAAATGAATCCTTTAAAAATGTAGTGATAAAAAACAAACAGTACCAGTCCAGAGGTAATATGTAATAGAGTAGTTTGTAGTTCACACATAGATATTATTTGCAGTAGTCATGTAAGGGTGAGCTACAGTAAGTGTTTATATAAGCTTGGAGAGATCCATTTCTCTTCTTTGAAGTGTTTGGAGATGCTTGTGCATGGAGACCATGGGAACTATTCACTGATAGCTTGCTCAAGCAAGAATATCTTGGCTTGTGTCCTCCTTGTTTAATTTATTGGTAAATAAACATAACTGCTGTGTTGTATAAAAGAAAGTAAAAAGAAATTTATGCATTGATTATGATGATGTGATGACCACGGTCATTCATTTTGTATCCAGTTCCTGTGACCTGTTAATCTGATGTGAAGATAAAGTTTGAATAATTTTACTGGAATTTAGATGCGCTGATATTAGGAAGTCAGTTGGTTGCAGAAAACAAATATGAGTGTCAGTAAAGATGGTGCTGCCAGCTGGGATGAAGAGGAGGCTAAGCATGGCTAACGTTAGCACTTCGGCGGGAGACCCAGTCCCAACTGCCTCGGTGTCAGCAGATGATCCTGGCACAGACAATGAGCCGTGACAGCCCTACACAGGTGATAGTGGAAACGTTGCCAAGCCATGTTTTATTGCAGAAGTGGTTTTTCATGTGGTCCTGGCTTTATGTCAGATACTGGTTGTAATTTTCTTTTTATTAGGTTTATCAGGACTTGCACAGATTATACAGTACTAAGATGCCCTCATTCATTTCATGGTGCTGAGTCCAAATCACTCTGGGACTGTTGTTATGAAAGGCCTTGGCTGATTTTCAGCTGTGAGCTCATGAGGTGAGCTGTGACTTGTGTGATAAGTAACCTTTAGACTTTGTTTAAATTTTTAAAACTGCTGTGATTATGAGTCTAGCTGTCCCTGGTAGGCTAGTGGTTAAGGCACAGCGCTCTCGCCGCTGCGGCCTGGGTTCGAATCAGGGTTGCGTCAGCAAGGGCTTTCTTTGTAAAACACGTGCCAAATGTCAACATGCGAGTCGTCAGTGTGACGATTCGCTGTGGCGACCCCTAAACGGGAAAAGCCGAAAGTGACTTTTTTGTGATTGAGTCTGCAGATGTTTGATGTGGTGGTGCCTTGAATTTATTAAAGCACCTTTGGGATATGTGTTCCGAATCCTAATGCAGGATATTGGTTCCCAGGCAGCAGAACAGGAACTCAGAGAAAACTAAGTAAAGAACTGTTGTGTTCAGAAGGTTGGTAGTTGAGAGCCAGTCCCACGTAAACCCAGTGGAATATGTAGACAGTACTGGAAAGAGAAGTAGTATACAGGTCAAAATCTGAACATGACTATTAGTGCAACATACAAAGAAGTCTCTCTAATGTTTTGGTTAGCCATGCTGCTAGCAGAAAATGCTGAAACTATTCTGAATTAAGGTTTGATAAAACACCACTGGCTACATACAGTATCTGAAAAGGGTTAAATGTAATTTTCCAAGAGAATGGTTTTATTATTTCCTTGTTTTTCTCAGCTAAATCATTAGCTGTCCCTGGTAGGCTAGTGGTTAAGGCGCAGCGCTCTCGCCGCTGCGGCCCGGATTCGAATCAGGGTTGCGTCAGGAAGGGCATCCGGCGTAAAACACATGCCAAATGTCAACATGCGAGTTGTCAGTGTGACGATTCGCTGTGTCGACCCCTAAAAAAACGGGCAATGTAAAATGATTGTTCCGGACATGTGCAGAATATTAATTATGTTTCATGAGCTTCCTTTTTGTGTTATTTTGTTCATGATTTGATTTCATATCAGCGAGTCTCAAGGATGTTGTCAGCTCTGCAGCTCTCTCATCTACATCCTCTCATAGCAACTTTCAACACAATGACAGATGAATTATAGAGCAAACCTAAATTCCTACATTTTTCAGGAAGTAGTAAATTGTGGATTTTGGATTTCAAATTTGGTTCAGTTTTCATTAGCAGTAATTTTCTGGAATGTGTGGTTTATATTTTATGTTTCCTTTAATAAAAAGCTTCTTATATAGCCTCCTATGTTCTGGCTTTAAAGTTCTCTGTGTAGTGGAAAGGTGAAATTCATACATATGCTATCTGCTCAATGTTCATGTTATCTATGTATTGGTGTTGTATAACCTTGTTTTCTTTTCCTCTGACAGTTTTCCCAAACAGTTCTGTCTCCCAGACTCCACACAGATTTAGTCTCCACACACACACACATATACACACACAGGCCCAGTCTCTATTGACACACACACACACACACACACAACACAGCCTGTTACCTACACAGCCCAACTATCTGGCCCCCACTTTCCTATCTAGAAGGTACTGTACCTATGAAGGCCACATACCGAAGACACAGTTCTGATTGGTTCCAGCTAGTGGGATGATAGTTGACCGATATTATACAAAACCTGACTGGAACTTCTCTCTTTTGTCACTCACCGACTCTTTGCACTGAGTGTGTGATCTCTTGATCAAGACTCATTGTCCGCTCCCGCAACAACAATGACAACCACCATCACCCTCAGGGATCCCCTGGAGCACCAGGCACAAGTGAGCAGGCTGAAATCAGGAGAGTGACCCGGAGACGGAGGTGCAAACGGGGCAAGAGAGCAGTGCGCTACTCAGCCGCCACTTCCTAGCCTCTTCCTAGCTAACATACAGTCCCTGGAAAACAAACTGGACGAGCTGAGAGCTAGGATTACAGCACAACAGGAAATCAGAATGCTGTGCTCTAATTCTCACTGAGACTTGGCTTTCTGACAGAGTCCCAGATTCCGCGATTCAGCTAGAGACCTACTCTGTACATCGGGGAGACCACACTGCTGCTTCAGGGAAGGATAAAGGAGGCGGTGTGTGTGTGTGTGTGTGTGTGTGTGTGTGTTTATCAACTCATGGTGTGGAGATGTATGGACTGTTTATAAGCACTGTTCGCCAGACATGGAGTTTTTAATTGCTGAAATGCCGGCCCTATTATCTAGCAAGTTGTTTTTAACCACTACAAGAGCATAATGCTGTGTTTCTGGCTGCTGTGTATGTTAGCCCAAGAGCTAATCCCTCGGCGGCTCTCAGCAAACTCCAGGATGTCATCAGCGCGCTAGAGACAGTTCACCCCGATGCTGTATTTATTGCTGCCAGCGACTTTAATCGGTGCAATTTACGGACCGTACCTCCCAAATATGACCAACATGTGAACATTCCCACCCGGGGCAAGAACACTCTGGATCATGTTTACATACGTGGTGCATACAGGGCCGCGCCCCGCCCCCACCTTGGATGCTCGGACCACATTTCTTTGTTCCTGTATCCAGTTTACAGACAAAGACTGAAACAAACCCTGTCACCAAGCAAATTAAACTCTGGACCCCAGAGACGGAAGGCACCCTGCAGGACTGTTTCACCCAGACAGACTGGGATGTGTTTATAGGTGCAGCCACCTCGGAGGACTTTTCTGTCAGTGTACAGGATTATGCTGAGTAGGTGACCGGGTACATTAATACCTGTACTGACAACATTGTGCCCACCATACAAGTCAGGAGGTTCCCCAACCAGAAGCCCTGGATAAACAGGTACGCCACATGGTGCGGGCTTGCTCTCATGCATTCAGATCAAGCGATGAAACGGAGTACAAAGCTGCAAAGTACAGACTGAGGAAAGCCATCACAGTGGCCAAGAGGCAGTACAGAGAGAAGATGAATGGCTTCTATTCTACTGCTGACTCTGGATGAAAGTGGCAAGGCCTGCAGCACATCACAGACTACAGGACCACCACCAGCATCATCAGCTCCACAGACAGCCTGCTGGATGACCTCAACACCTTCTACACCCGCTTTGAGACCTCTAGCTACAGCACAGAGAGGAGGCACACACACACACACTGAGACCCAGTTCAAAAGAGACCACCAAGGAGTGCACCGTGCACTGTTGTGTAAAGACTGGATATAAATAGTCCACGCTGGAAAGGTGTGCCAGCAGATACAAACAACTAATTTGAAACCGACGTTTCTTTCTCATTATGGTTACATTAATTACACTGCTTTGTTTTAAGTCTGGCAGCAGACAAACAGAGGAGGAGTGGAAGAAGGATCCTGGGAGCTGAACTCTCTCTACTGACTGATCAGATTATTCACATTCTCACTGACAGGAAAAAAAAAAAGCTTTCCTTGTAGATGTGAAAAAATTAAATCCTGCCAGTGATATTCTTTGGCCAGAAGGTGTTGTGGGACACCAGCTGTTTGACTGCAATGCCAATTCCAGACTGGATCACAGTTTCAAGTGTTATTTGTGCAACAGAAAGAGAAATAACTCCATGACCAATTCATGCTGACAAATACTAAACTACCGAACATAATGTGCAGAAATCAAATCATCAAACCACATGAAATGTGCATTTACACTTTCATGGTTACTAGGAAAATAATACCAAAAAAAAGCCCTACTTTTTATTAGCACCAGTAATTCTCAAGCTCACACTAAAGACAGATTGGTATTTTGGCTACTTTCATGTTTTTTGTCTTATGCTGTTTGATGTAGCTGCAGGCTCAGGCAGTATGCTGGTTAGTTTAGCACACTGTTAGCATGCTAGTTAGCTTAGTGTAGCAGGTTGTGTTGTTCATTTGGTAGTTAGCCTAACATCATGTGGTAGATGGGAGTGGATGCTTTATTGCTTGGTAAAGCTATGTATCAGCAAGTGACGTTGCTTGGTGAGTTAAGCAACTGGTTAGCATCATATACATTAACTCGACAGAATTAGCTGGTTGTAGTTGGTCTGCATGGATATTGTAAACAAGGATGACTATAACTTGCTACAGAGGGTTGTATAAGCATGTGGGTGGCTGCTCTGGATCACTGGAACACACTATTGAGGCTTCTCAGTAATGTAGGCCTGGCTTACAAATTGATGCTCATGCTCAAACTGTGTAGTGCACAGTGACAAAGCAATGTTAAAATGCCAGTTCTATATTATTATAATTATAATAAAAAGCATCCTTCAATCTGATTGTTTTAATACAATAGTGACAAGTTTCATGACCTTCGTCAACAATAGTGTTCTACTTTCTTATTTAAATTAAAGGAAAAAAGTGTTTAACCCATGATTTGTCTCTTACCAAAGACACGCTCATCATTGATGTTCTTAATGCAGAACCAGAGACAATGATTATTTAAACTGGGATTGATTTGAATTAATTTAGTTTGTATCAGATCCTAACTACCACAATAGACTACAGTATAAGCTGAAGGGATAGATAGCACTAAGCCTGGATCAATTTCCTTTGCTTACAGACTTGGTGAGTCAAGATGGCACC